AATTTATTTATGGAGTAGAATTAAAAGATGCATGCAAATTAATAATATTTAAAAACTATGCCTTGAATATACATATATGTGTGTGTTTATGGCTGTAAAATATAATTATTTTTAATTTATATGGTATATGTTCTCACTCTTTTTGTATTTTTTATTTTCTTTGAAATTTTAAAAATATTAATTTGATTGAAATAGATGGCTACTCTAAATATTGGACATTTGCCACACTCAGTCAAGTCATATTTTCCAATTTGCAATGGACTGTAGACATCCAAAATAATACAGTCTCTTTCGAGGGACAAGGTTCCTTAATAATATCACTACCAACTAAGACAATGTCAATCATCCTTCATGGTCCCGTGCTCATATTGTTCACTCTTCTACATGAGGAGAGATTTATTTATTTAAGGAATAAGTCTACATAAACTTATTTTGTTCAATAACTCATGTTCTACATTAAATTTTAACGATCTATCCGTTGAATTTAAAGTTTTTAATGCATAGATGAAGTTTGCACATTTTAAAAAAAATTAAAGACCATTTGATAATTCGTTTCATTAATTCAACTTAACATATAAAACATTTTTATGATTATTCGTAATTAATGAAACTAAGTATCAAATAACTTTAAATTTTTAAAAAAATTTATAAACTTAATTTATATATTAAAAACTTTAAATTTAATATTTAAATTATTATATAATATAATTTATTGAATAGAACAAATTTATATAGACTTACTTCTAAAATTTGTAGCTTAAAACTAAAAAATGTAAAGTTCAAACAAGTACATGAACCAAATGAACAAATAAACAAAAAAGTATCATATAGTAATGGAAAAATATTAGATACTAGGTTTTTCTTATTTGTGTAATTTTTATAACTAATAAAAAATTATTATTGATTAAATTTTTATATAATTTTTCTTTGTTTTATACTTTTAAGATAATTATTGAAAAGTTATAAAAAATAATGGTTTATAATTGCATGAGAATGTAAATTTGTTTTACATAGTTAATATATGGTGTTTTTTCTCTCTCTCTAAATAATGTATATTGTGATATAAAATATACATTAAAGATATTTTTAATTTCTAAATTTTTCATTTTTTGTCTTTCAACATTTCTTTTTACTAATTTTAATTTTTGAAATTTTGACAATTTTTACTTTTAGTCTTTAAATTTTTTCTCCCACTAATGTTTTGATCTATAACAATAATTGTCTTTTATCGATGGAGAAAACTTTCTTAGATTAAAACTAAATAATTTTTTTAAAAATCAAAATTAAAAATTGACAAAAGTTTAAAATTGAATTTTTAAACTATGCTTAACTATATATATATATATATATATTAAATTTCAATTTAAAAATAAAAATGAGAATAATAAATTGAAAGAGATATGAAGTTAAAAATTTTATAAATATTTTTTTAAGAAGAAATTTATAAAATCATCTAACAATAATAGAGAGAATTTGTAAATAAAATAAATTATTATTCTAATTTATTTAGTGCACAAGATCAATATTTATTTTATATGATTATTACTTATAATAAACAAATAAATAATTATATTATATTATATTATAATTATAATTCATAATATATAAATATTTTTAACACATAAATTATATTTTAAATTTATTATAAATAATAAATAATTTATATTGTAATAAAATTTATTTTTATCTTTCCATCATTTATTTTAAATATTAAAATAAAAAATATATAAATAAAAATAGATGACAAAAATCCTGAAAGCACTGTTATTTAATAGTATTACCTACTTTTTGTCCTGGCATGATAGTCATCTGATAGAATCAGTAATGACCAGTAATGATAATCGAACAAATATTTAAACATTCCATTTCCTTTTTTATTCTCAAATGTAAATACATTTATTAATTTTATTTATGACAAATATTTTTAACATGGCATCATAATAAAGAAAAATAAAAACACTGTTAGGGATCTTAACTCTTACGGAATGATTATTTTTTTTGACATCAAATGAAATGATCTTTCCCAAAAATATTAAAATGAAACAATGATTAGTTTAATTTAGCCTGCATTTATATATCTAAATATTGTAATAGTGACATCCACTCTGTATAAAAACTTTAGTTTGTAATTTATTATTATTATTATTATTGTGCACAACACATCTTAGTAAACTTCTCCCTCTTTCCTAGTTCCTAGTTGGAAATGAATGGAAGTGGACCCAAAAGCCAAAACAAAACCCTCTCACTTGTCTTCTTTGTGCATTCAAATTCAAATTCCAAAACCTTTCTTTATATCTTCTAAATGTGGCCACCCACATTAAACGGCAACTGGTTGCTCAAGCTCACACGTGTTTCCTTTTGTAATCTAATGCCCTAAAATTTTATATATCTATTTCAATTTTACCATTTAAATTAAGTTCACCATTTTCCTTCTATTTTTATCAGTATATTTATTCTTTTCACCTGCATGTTTTATTATAAATATAAAATATAATTTTATATATTTTAAAATTATTTATTAAATAAAATTTAATTGTAGTATAGTCTATATATTATAAATATTTTATTTATAAATCGTGTTATATAGAAATAAATATTTATCATGTAGATATACAAACTAAAATTATATTTTTACTTTAAAATACAAAACATGCCGACCAAGTGACCATATCTATAATAATCTCTAATATAGATATATATTAAGAATCTATCATATTCAAGCTTTTTTTGTCAATAAAAATTAATAAATATAAAATATCCTATGTAGAACCATTTGAGATAAGCATAGTCATAAAAGTTTTAAAGTATCATCGATATTTAACAATGACAATCTTTTATTGTCGTTTATATTTTTCTTTTAATATTATTCAAATATTTCTAACCACTATATTTTAATTTGCGTCTAAGAATAGGCTACCTATTTATGGAAATGATATAAGAATCTATTCATTATTTTTATATTAATGTTGTTTTTATTCTTTCTCTTTTTTACATTATTTTTTCCCTATTTTTTTTATAATACATTTAAAATAGAATCATACATATCAACATAAATAATTATTTTAATTAACTTTATTGATTTTATAAAATAATTATGCTGTACTATTTTTTATCTTTTTTATTTATTACTAAAATGTTATGGAAGAAGTGAAGATATTATTTTTATCAAAATTTATGTATTAATATTAATAAAATTGACAAATAATAATTAGAGAGTTGAAAAAATATTTATTTCTTAATTTTTCTTTTTCTCATGTTCAACAACAAAAAAATACATGTTTATAATGTTTAATAGGTAAATATAATAAAAAATGCTAATATTTCATAAATTTATAAAATGCCTTATAAAAAATTACTACTTTCTCTTAAATTGTGTCATATAATAAAAATTAAAAGAAATATAATTTTTTCCTAAATTAAAAATCTAGATTTAATCAGTATCTTAAATAGAGTTGTGACTAAATATACCATTTTATCTTTATGAGAATCAGTTTTTTTATAAAGAATTATGTCTTCTTAATATATATATATATATATATATATATATATATAT